CGCGCACAATGTTGTACAAACAAACTCTTGGAATCTCAACAGCCACCGCGCGTGTAGGATATCAATGCGATACAGAAACATTAAATACTTGGCCTTCCTGTTGGAAGGGAGACGGTTGGCGGAAGTGGAGGGAGGACGTCTGGGGGGATAGGGAGGCGAACAGGTTCGACGTCTGGGGGCCGTTTCCGGGGTCCGGGGCCCGCAAGGGAGCATGTCATGGCAAAAAGCTTGCCCCGTGGATGAAGTCCAGAACTTGCGCTCCAGAGGCCATATACATCTGTATATATATATATATATATACACATGTATATGTACACATATAGATATGTGTGTACACACTTACGTACATATGCATGTGTGTCGCAATGCGTTGTATGTATATATACACATATACACACATATAGACATGCATGGATACGTGTGTGTGTATACTCGTAGAAACATATGTACATGTATGCATACACATACATATATATATATATATGTGTAACTGTGTACACATATTCCATGGCAAATACGTTAGACCCGCACACACTAGCAACAACACTAACAATAATAGCCTCCCCTCCTCCCTCTCCTCGTGCTCGTCCTTACCTAACCTCTTCTGCTTCCTCCTCCTCCTCCTCCTCCTTCTCCTCCTCCTCCTCCTCCCGTATCCTCCTGTTCCTGCTCCTCTTCTTCGTCCTCCTCCTCTCAGGAAGCATCCCAGGAGGAGGAACAAAACATCCAGCGTGGAGAAAAGAACCTCCTGACTGAAGATCGGCAGCTCCACTTCAGAGTTTCTGGAGCATCGTGGCAGCCAACGCAGCACTTGTGGGGTCAGGTCTGGGCACGTGGCGAGTGTCTCTGTGGCAGACTGCTCAGCCACCGAAACCAAGACACCCGGGGAATCTGCCAAGGGAGGGTTCACAAAGCAGCAGCGATTTCAAGGCCGGGCTCTCGCCATGTCGGACGGCGGGTTGACCGCCCCTGCGTCGAGCCCAGGTGGTGCTTGCAGCTGCTCCATAACCTGGGCGTCTACATCTCTCATGTTCTGCACCCTACACCGCCTGATTAGAGCTCACTGTCTGCATCGTCGTCTTCTTTCCGCTCCCACTTATCATTGCCATCATCCTGTTTTCGACGCCCGCGTGACCCCCAGTCGGAGAGCGGTTACGAACACATTTTCGCACTGAGCACGACGTCAAACGTAAAAACAACAACAAAGGATAACATCGCCACTATTTGGATCAACAATGACGAGCAACGGGATGCGTAGAGCAGACTCAGGGGCCCGATTGAACGACCAACATACGAAACCATACCGGATGTGACGTGGGGGCGAATCGGACTCAATGCTAGATGCATGCGCACATTCAGCAAGGATGATGCACATGTTTCCAGATTTGATGGAACCAGGGGCGCCGTGCACAGGGACCCTAAACAACGGGAGCTGCCCTACAAGAGAGACGCGAAAAATATGTGAACGAGAACATTTGTGGAGCGAGAGAGATACACATGGCACGGCACTCACAGCGGGGAATCGAAATATGCGGCACGGGAGCGCACGGCATGGACGCGTAGCTTTTAGCACACGTGCGCGGCATGCCACAGCACGCGCGAGAAAGCACACACCGCATGCACACGCCGCTTGATGTGCGCGGCCAGCGCCCGCACAGCATGGCACGCGCAACGCGGCACGGCTTGGCACGCGCGGCACGGCACGCACGGCACAGCAAGCGCAGCAAGGCACGCGCACCACGCACAGCACGCACGGCGCGGCACGATCTGCGGAAGTGGACATGTGATTCGTTTGGAGCGCCTGGTGCGCTATCGGTAGGTGAGGAAGCCCTGTATGGGAATCAAGCGAGTGGGGCTGAGAGCCATGGAACACACATCGGGTTGATGAGTGAAACGCTTAGAGGCAATCCAGAGCGAGCGCTCAGACACAGTGAAACAAAGAAATGACGCGCCTGTCTGCCCTACATGGAAGATCCCCCCATGGCTGGAATTTGGAACCAGCGCTTCGTGTGGCCATGCCGTGGCCGAGTACGACCATGCTGCGCATGCTATGGCCAATCTGCGGCCAGGCTACCCTGCCTAATTATCCAAGGTGTGGTTGTCAACTGGCCGCCCATGAACCGAAGTAGGCATCTACGCATGAGGCCAGCGCAGTTCCCGCACTTTTTACCCGCGCGGATCGACAAAAAACCGCGGGGCGGTCCTTGCGGGAGAGGGAGCCCCCCCCCTCCCCCCTGCGCAAATAAGTAATTTTAGAAGTGAGTTCGCAAACAGCAGATCGTCAGCGACTCAATCAATGCAGGGGACAGCGAAAGAACCCCGCACATGTCGTCCGCCTCCTGAAACTCTTTGGGACACAGCAGGATGCCAGGTTCGACGAGCGAATCATCCTACCTGCACTGTTTGGTCGGTCCGACCCCGAATCGCTGGAAGCCCTCGAAGATGTGGTCGTGTTGCGGTGGGAAGCGCGCCCGACTCGCCAGCTCCCCGCAGGTGGGGCGGGCGGCGCTTGTGCGGCGGCAACCGCTCCTGTGGCTGCACCAGTCGGGGAGCGCAGGTCGTCCGCCACCTCGGGCCGGCGGCTGCTGCCGTCGACGCGGCGCCTCAGGGCGCGATGCCCCGGCTGACCCCGCAGCCGCTGGCCGCCAGCCCGATGGCGACGCAGGCGCGCACCGCCGACAGGGCCGGGATCCAGACGCCCTCGCCCTCCGAGTGCGCCGCGAGGGGCGCCGCCGGCTCCGCGCCGCCGAGGTCCCCGCCCGCGCCGAGGCGGCGCGCGCCGCCAGCGAGGGCACGAGAGTGCGGACAGCGGGGCGCCGCAGGAGAGCCACACGGCGGCGGCCGGGTCCGCCGAGCGAGGGGGGCGCCATTGCCGCGAGGGAGCGGTGTCGAGCCAGGCCTTCTCGCGGCAGGCTGCCATGCAGCTGCGGCGGAGGGCAGTCTGCGCCCCTCCTGTTCGTCGTATCTCCCCTCCTCCTCTTCCTCCTCCGCTTCGCTGCCCGTCTCTGCTTCACGACCGAGGGCCTCGTCGTTCCGCCTCACAGTCTCGGGGCGTTCCGCTCTTCCTGTCGCGCTCTGTCACGCTTCCTGAGGAGAGTCGCCCATCGCGCGCTCGCCTGCCCACGCAAACCCTCTGAATGCCTGGCTGCGTGGTGGTGGCGTGCCTCAGCATTACCAGCCTCGAACTTATCCCTATCCCTAAGACTGACACGCCTAAAGGCGATGACAATCTTGGGGATGCGCCCTCAAAAAATGAGGGAATCCCTGAGATTGGCATCGTGAGGAGGAGATGCCCAGCATAGGGGTAGGGATATGTCCCAGGCTGGTAACCAACGTGCCACACCCAAATGCTCCCATGGCTCGGCCCCTCGGCCCCCGCGAGGCGCGCCCCGCCACTCCCCGCCGGGGAAGCCCCTCGGGGCAGGAGCGGAGTCCCGAGATGCCACGAGGGGCCACGGGCACGGGGCTGCCCACGACTCGGGCGGGGTGGGCCCGCCTTCCCCCCCTTCGGAGCTGCCTGCGCCGTGGGCGGCCGCGGCGCTCCTGCTCCTGCACATCCCCTTCGCCACCGCCTGCACCCCTCGGCTTCGCCCACTCCGGCCGCCTGAGGCCCCGCCTTCCTGTGCCCTGTCTCCCCAATTAAAGCTGTGCGTAGCCCGCCTAGCTTTTAGCGGAAGAGGTTCGCTCTCGCCCCGCAGATCAAAGCTGTGCCGTGGGCGTGGTCGGACGTGTTGCTCCCGTTCGATACTTCTCCATGGGTTCTCCGAGAACCCCTGGCCAGAGAGGCTCCCGAACTCAGGGACGGCGCTCTCGCTCGAGACTTCTTCACACTTCCGTCAGAGGCCGACAAGGAGGAGATTCCCTGGACGTGGTCGGCCGGGGGGTCCAGGGGTTGGCCCAGGGCGTGCAGCTCTTTGGCTTCGCCACCCTCGGTGCCCCCGCTCCGGATCCCAGCAGCCCGGCGTAGCCGTCCATGCAATTGCACGAGCCCCGGCTCGCGCACGGGGGATCGGAATCCCGCTGCGCACCCCGCCCCTCCGCAGGAGGAGGCCTGCAGCACCCCGACACCAAGCCCGGCGACGCCCGTCCTGGGCCAAAGCGTGGCCCGCGTGCCGTCCAGCCTTGCCTACAGGATGGAGAGGAAGAGGCGGCAGAGGAGCATCCCCCTCTGTTGGACGCCCGAATTATCCGGGGTAACTCGGGTCAGGGATAACTCGGGTTTGGGTTCCCGAAAAACGAACCCGAGTTAACCCTGACCCGAGTTATCCCTGATGATTCGGGGCTCTGGATGCCCGAAATATCCGGGGTAACTCGGGTCCGGGGTAATTCGGGTTCGGATTCCCGAAAAACGAACCCGAGTTATCCCTGACCCGAGTTACCCCTGATGATTCGGGGCTCTGACTCTGTGCCGTAGGTGATGAGAGAAATGTCCGCAGGTCACTTCGAGCTCTCACGGCTTCACGTTGTAAGTACACTGCAAGGGCCCCAGGCCCCCGACGCACGGAATTCCCAGGCGCTCCCAGGCGCTCTTTGGGCTCGGGTCGTAACTTTTCGTGGAATGCCCACGGAGCGTGGTTGGGAGTCCACGCTTCCCACGTAAGATGGCCCCAATGGCCAGTCCAGGGATTCTCTTCGGGGTATATCGTGCTGTCTTGGAGGCCCTAGGGCCTGGCCCCAGAAACCCAAATCACTGAACAGCCGAACAAAATCGATTCCCGATCCCCTGCACGAACAGCACTTGCACGTGGGAGCTCTCCCTTTGTGCTCCGCAGGAATTGGATGATGAGTGTGCCGGGGCCTCCGCCCGCCGACCGGCGTCTGGTGTCTGGCTGCCCTCGGCCACCAGGCGCCCGCGGACTTCCAGAAGAACGTCGTCGGAGCTCTGCCCGGTGCCTCGCCGGGGGTCGCCCACGGGCACCGCGTGGCCGCCCCCCGCGCTGCGTGGGCGCGGCGGGGCTGCGCCCGGCGCCTGGCCGGGAGCCGCCCCCGGGGCGCCTCGTGGCCTCCCCGTGCGCTGGGGGGGGGAGGGGCCGCGTGGCTTCGCCTGCTGCCCGCCCGCGGCCGCCCACGGGCACCTCGAGGGCGCCCCTGCGCTGGCTGTGCCCACCACGTCGTCGTCGTCGTCGTCGTCGTCGTCGTCGTCGTCGTCGTCGTCGTCGTCGTCGTCGTCGTCGTCGTGGTCGTGGTCGTCGTCATTATCACCCCCTCCCCTTACCCCACTACCCCTCCGCCCCGAGTCTGGGACCCACCGACGGTCGGCGCCTGAACCGGCGGGCCCGGCGCACGAGACCCAGCCTCTGCCGCGACGGGGGTCTGCGCGCGGCATGCGCTTGGCGCGCAAGGTCGACCGCACAGACCCGCGTCGCGGCAGACTGCCTGGACGGACGGACCTTTTGGGAAGCCCCGGCCGCCACTGAGTCGCAGGCGAGCCCCTCGGGCAGCAGGGCGGGCAGCTCGTGCGCGAGGGCGCCGTCGAAGTTGACGACCCTGAGGGCCACCTCCGCCAAGGCCTCGCTGGTTGGCAGGTGGGGTCCAAGAGGCCCAACAGCTGCCATGGCGAGGGTTCGACCCCCACTTTGGATGGTTTGGGCCTTTTGCTCTTAATTTGATGTTCCTTTGTTTGGGAGGCCATGAGAGGAGGAGGAGGAGGAGGAGGAGGAGGAGGAAGAGGAGGAGGAGGAGGAGGAGGAGGTGGAGAAGGATGATGATGAGGAGGAGGAGGAGGAGCAGGAGCAGGAGGAGGAGGAGGAGGAGGACGAGGACGAGGATGAGGATGATGATGATGATGATGATGATGATGATGATGATGATGATGATGATGAGGAGGAGGAGGAGGAGGAGGAGGAGGAGGAGGAGAAGGAGAGGGAGCAGGAGGAGAGAAGGAGGAGGAGGAGGAGAGGGAACAGACCCAAGATGCATCAAAGATGCTGAAACACACCCTCCCGTCCCAAGTTCCCTCCTCATGAGTTCCTCCAAACTTGCCCTTTCCACGTCATGAAGCGCCCATCTGAAATACCAGCACCGCACGGGCCTGCCATTCAGGTGAAAAAGCCAATGTGAAAAGGAACTAGCTGCCTCGCGTCCCTTCAGCAAGTAACAGATAGTAGCAGTGAGCGCGCAAGGGTATGACTATTCAGTGCAAAGAGACGTCTAGCGATGTCTCCAATGTGAAAAAGGACGGCCGCATCTGTGTAAGTCTAGCACCCGCTCTCGTTTATGGCCATGAGCGTCGAGGAAATATCAAAGGCCACTGACTTTGATGCCCTCGAGAACGAGACGGCGCTTCCGGGGGGCGCACTGGAGGGCCCTCCGCAGAGAGGACCTGAGGTCCCTGCGGAGTTTCTCTAGGGAGAGGGCCCCTCTTGCCCCGCAGGGCGTTGGGCCGCTTGTTGTGCCAGAGAGCTTTGCCTGCACCTCGAAGCCACGGTGCAGCGAAGCCGTGTCGCTGGTGAGCGTGATGGAGTCGTCGGTAAGGTCCAGGTACTGAGCTCCCACTGCGGTAGTGGCTTGAAGGCGCCGCGCAAAATGTACGTCTTGGCGCCAGATGACTTGGGAGATCGAACGCGACATGGGCACAAAACCGCCCAGGTAGCTGTCTCCAGCGTGGCGGCGTGCCCAGTCGTCACGAACGAAACGAGCAGATTCCACCATTTGTTTCTTGTGGGTTCTCCATCCAAGCTCGATCGGGACGCGCGCGGTTTGCGTGGCGTCTGCGAGCTGCTGGCGGTAATCGTTGTAGTGGGGGTCGTGGAAGATGGCTGGCTGGATCGCCTGCTCGTCGACTGGTGTCCTTGGCTTGACGCCGAGGGAGAAAGGAGGTGACGGCGTAGTTGCTGAGGCGGCTGTCCGAGAGGATAGCTGCGTCGTGGCCAGGCCAGCCTCGGTGTACAGCGTCCCGTCGAAGAGGGCCTTCCAGAACAGCTGCTGTTAGCGGGAGCCGCTGTCCAGCGCGAGGCCGGCACGCAGCGGTCGCGGCTGCATGGCGCTGCTGGGCGGGCGGCTGGCCGTGTTGAACTCATCCATTGCGATGAACGTGCGGCGCTGGTAATTCGCCTCGGCCCATGCGCGGTGAAGATGCCAAGAATGCTGGACTTTGTTTGGCCCTGACAGCTGCGTGGATGTCGTGGTTGTCAACGCTCATGATGACAGTGATGTTCCGCGAGACGGCGCGCGTGATCGCCGCGAGCAGCACTCGGCAGTCCACGACCGACTCGTACGAGCATTGCGGTAGCTGGCGAGGCCGAAGCTACTCGAGCTGCATCGGCGTAGACCACGGGGCGAGGGTGGCGTCACCTCCCGCTGCCTGCTGGGAGTCGCCGCTGACGTTCATGAGGAAGAAGATTTTGTGCGGGTGCGGCTGGGTGTCCGCCCACGCGCTAAGCAGGATCTCAGAGACATGGCCTTCCGACATCATGATGACGCACTTGCGCGTCATGAAGGAGACAAAGAGGGCCTGCTTCTCGCGGCGTCTCTTGCGTGAGTAGCAAGCACATGCGGGCT